CCCCCCCCCCAAGCGGTCCGGGCATAACTGATATTTGAACTGGAACGCGCGCCGTGACCGCGCTCTCTGCTGTGCGGTCGGTTCGCAACGATTCTCCCGGAGCTGCCGCTGCTGCTCCCCGCGGCCCGCCCGCGGAGGCCTCGGTGCGGCAGAGTGACGGCTGCGGCCAGGACACCGCGGCGAGGCGGGGCGGGGCGTGACTGCAGGTCGTTAACGCCCGTCCCGGCCCGACCCAGCCCTTTCCCTCGGCGAGTAGGACGGCCGGCCCAGGTGGAGGAGGAGGAGGCCGTGTGGGCCGACAGGAAGGCGTGGGCGGGGCCGCCGCCGCGAAGGCACTACCCGCAGCGCGCTCCGCTCGATTCCGTCACGTCGCTTATGGTTTTTGTTTTGCCTTATCCGAGGCTGTGGTGCTGATGCTTGTATTGGTTGTTGCAGCGCGGGTCGCCGGCGGCAGAAGGAGGTGCAGCCGCTCAACACCGTGGCGCAGGAGCGCTTGTTCAAGCAGGACCAGAGGCAGCCGCTCAAGAAGCGTGTGGTGCGTTCTCCGGCAAATACCAGCCTTGTTCTTTAAGAGTCTTGTGCCCAAAGAGGACGAGGCGTGCACACTCTTCATTGACACCTCCCCTTCTGTTTGCCTCAGGTGTTCTCCAGCAGGCGCTACTCTAGCGATGACCTACCCAACGGCAAGGCGCACGCCATCGCGGACGCCGGCAGCCCCATCGTCGGCATCCTCAAGCAGTCCCCGCTGCAGCATGAGTCGTTCATCAGCGACGTCATCGACGAGGAGGTGGACGTCGACGAGCAGGTGCCGTCCACCCCCAAGGCGCAGCGCGGTCGGCCGCGGACCAGGGGCCGTCCTGCCGCCGCGGCGGGGGGTCGCGGCCGCGTGAGCAGCAAGCACGCGTCCTTCACGGAGGAGGCGAGCGCCTCGCCCTGGCAGTCGGCGTCCTCGTCCATCCTGGCGGCGCTGGCGCTGTCCGTGTCGCCCCTCGCGCGCAAGCGCGCCAAGCAGGCCGAGGCGATCGCCAAGGAGGAGGAGGCGGTGCGGCGCGCCGTGCACTTCTACAAGAGCTCCGGCGAGTGGTGGAAGTGAGTATATGAGAAACCTAGCGGTCGGCGCTGCACATGGGACGCCCTGGCCCTGCCTGATGCGGACCTGAAAGGAGGTCAGGTGGACTATGGCGGGGCGTGGTGTGGCGGGGGCG